CTGAAGAGAAAAGTGTGGGCTCCTACCAATGGAAGCATCCCAGTTAGTTGGCCAACATGGTCTCTTAATGATGTACTCTTTAACCTCAGAAATACGGCCTAAAGGAATGGAGCTGTGCTTGCTCCAGCTCCTTCAGTGACCATGACTAAATGCCATATTTTCCCAATTTAGTGGATTCAAATCAAAGAGGGGAAAGATCTGGTGTTTTCTGATTAAGGTATGAATTTAATTATGGAAGTCAAGTTTAGTCATCCTTGTCTCACAGATTATTTATGGTAAATACGGTATTAATATTTTCCTTGAGATTTTGAAGTACCAGGAAAATATTAGGTCGCTCTCTTCACTCCTGTACTTTTGAGTAGTTCTGTACAATTCTCTTAGTTCTACTCGTTTATATATTTTTATGTCATATGCTATATTTTTCTCATTGTTCAACTAATATTTAGGGAGTGCCTGCTCTGTGCCAGGTACTGTCACCCCCTTAAAACCTTTTGAGGAGTAAGGACTGTCTCCTAATTTTTATGTATCTCCATTATAACTCAATGTACTGTTCTGAGTAGAAGCCATGTGGCATGCAGTGAATTCTGTTGAGTTGTGGAACTTGGCAGTTACAATCATATAGGTACAGGCAGTCCACCGATTACAAGAGTTCCATTCTTAAGTCTGTCTTAAGTCGAATTTGTACTTAAGTCAGAACAGTTAGCTATGGTTCATATCTACCATCAGTCAAATGTTTGTCTTAGTACATAATATATAGGGTACCTTTCTGTGCATACATAAAAAACATTAAACACTTCCAGATACACTAAAACATCTTTAACATAATAAAACAGTAATGATAATGTTTTGATGCATGTCACAAAGTAGCGCCTGTTTGTTATTACGAACCATTGTGTGTACTTCGAATTTTTAATATAATAGGCTTTATGTGAGTTGATTCCTAACTATGGATTGTACATAAGTCGGATGTTTATAACCCAGTGACTACCTGTACTATTGAGTTTGCAATACTTATAATAATAGCTGATATTTCTTGAGCATTTAATGTGTGCCTCCCACTGTGCCTTCCAAATATAGTCTCATTTAATCTTTATAACAACCCTGTGAAGTAGGTATTGTTATTATTTCCTTTGTAAGTGGTAGAGTCAAGATTGTAACTCAGGTCTAGTTGATTCCAGAGTGTACACTCTTTTTTTTTTTTTTTTTTAATAATTTATTTTGTTTTTTGTTGAGAAAATACACAGCAAAACATATGCAAATTCAGTAGTTTCTACATGTACAATTCAGTGAAGTTGATTACATTCTTTGAGTTGTGCAACCATTCTCATCCTTTTCTAAGTTGTTCCTCCCCCATTAACATAAACTCACTGCCCTCCCCCACAAGGTTTCCGTCTAATCTTTGAAGTTGCTGTTGTCAGTTTGATCCCATATAGGTAGACATTAAGAGATCTTAATGCTCAAGGTAGACATTCTTTACTAGTTAAGCTAAACTACTGTTTGGTTTTAAGAAGACTTCAGGGGATATTTTTGGTTTAAGGTTTAGAAATTATCTCAGGGCAATAACTTCAGGGGTTCGTTTAGCCACCATGGCTCCAGAAATTGTGGATTCCGTAAGAATTTGAAATTCTGTTCTGCATTTTCCCTCATTTGATCAGGATTCTTCTATAGAATCTTTGATCAAAATGTTCAGTATTGGTAGCCAGGCACCATCCAGTTCTTTAGCCACACATTCCATTTCTTCCTCCTATTCCTGACTCTCCTTCCTGTGTTGCTCCAGGCAAGTATAGACCAATTGTTGTGCCTTGGATGGCTGCATGCAAGCTTTTAAGACCCCAGGCACTATACAACGAACTAAGAGGTAGAACAGAGGCACTGAACACATTATTAGGCCAGTTAATTGGGATGTCCCATGAAACCATGACCCTAAACGTCCAAACCAAGGAGCCAAATCCCATGAGGAGTTTGGTAGTACATAAGCAGCCTCAGCTGCTACTCTTTTTTTTTTTTGTCGTTGTTGTAACTGTATCTATCACACAACTTTTCAGAGCATACACTCTTAAGCACTGTACCATTCTACCTTACAATAAGTTAACAGATACCATGAGCTTTGATACTAAGTTCCCATTAGTTGGGAAAGTGTTTTCATCTTTCCCAACTATTCAGATTTCTGTTTTAGGATACTTTGGAAGGCAATTTGAGTTTAATTAACTCAATTAACTTGAGTTAATTTGGGATGATGAAAAGAAAACATGTTTGTAGATATCAAAAAAAGCTTTCATTAGTTGCTTAGAGGTATATTGTTTTAGGTGCTGTTGAGTCAGTTCTGACTCATAGCGACCCTGTGTACAACAGAATGAGATACTGCCTGGTCCTGGGCCATCCTCACAATCGTTGTTATGCTTGAGCCCATTGTTGTAGCCACTGTGTCAGTCTGTGTCATTGAGGGTCTTCCTTTCCTTCACTGACCCTCTACCCTCATTGGTATATAGCACTATATAAAGAAACTATACCCAAACCATTCTTTTCTTCTAGGAGCTTACAGTTTAATTCCTAATGCAGATAGAAATGAGAGATACAGACAATTGAACAAATATTAAAGTTAACCTAAATAATTTAAGGGAATATGTTATGCCTAACTTGAAGGATAAATGTGAATGGTGAGGAGGAAGGGAGGAAATAGGCACGGGCATTAGATGCATCATGGAGTGAAGACCACCACAAGTGTATACACTATTATGGAGGAAAGGTAGTGGTCCTTTATCCGTTGTAGTCTGCAAATGTTACCCAGTAAGAAAAAAAAGCCACAATTGTTTAAATTTTAGGTTTCAAATATAACCTGCTGCTTACTGCTTTGTACTTTGATTGCATCAATTCTTACACACTAAACTGGCTCAAAATGGACAGTATTTGTGAGAAACTGGTCAAGAAATGTAAGGGAGTCAGGAAATGATGTGGGTGATTCAGTCAATTAGGGTATGAGTCAATACTGATGTCATAGTGGCCATATGATGCATGGAGATATGTTGTGAAGGTTGTACTCTGACTTTGAGGTAGCACCAGTGGGAACTGAGAGGAGAATATCATCACCCTGCCTCCAAAGGCTCTCATCATGGTTGTGTATAATGTTATGGGTCACAAAATTATCCTTATTTTTATGAACAACTGTAGTATTTGAGGTAGCAAATGCATTATTACAGTGAGAGACTTTTGAAATTGCTAGAGTTATTTTAGGTCAGAATATTGGGGAGAGTTATGAATAGTGCTTTAGAGTTAAGCCTCTGAAGCAGACTGCTGAGTACGAATGCTGTTCTATCACTTATTAGCTGTGTAACTTTGAGTAGGTTTCTAACCCTCACTGATTCGTTCCTCATCTGTAAAATGTGGATGGTGATATACCTATCTCATGGGATTGGGTGAGGATTAAATAAGATAAACTACTTATGCAGCACTTAGAGTAGTGCCTGGCACACAGTAAATGCTCAGTACATTTATTATATTTTAAGTATTATTTCTGCAAATGTTAGTAGTTATTTCTGTTGCTGCTACTGTGGCTATTATCATAATTATTATCATTGGATTTTGGAATCCTTTTGGCCTACATGGATTGTGGTGACTTCCAGCTGATTTCCCTGTGGTAGTTTAGTCTCACATAAAGTTGTTCTATATCAGATATTTTAATCTTACTATTAAGAAGCCTTGGTGACACAGTGGTTAAAGCACTCAGCTGCCAACCAAAAGGTTGGTAGTTCAAACCCACCAGCTGTTCTGCAGGAGAAAGATGTGGCAGTCTGCTTCTGTACCTATATGGAAGCCCTATGGGGCAGTTCTACCGTGTCCTATAAGGTCGTTATGAGTCAGAATGAGTCAGAATCGACTCGACAGCAGTGGGTGAATCTTACTGTTTTCTTACTCATAACTCCACAGTAGCTTCCTGCTTCCCACCATGTTAAACTTATTCCCTCCTTGCCAGGGCTTCAAGTCCTTTTGCCAGTGAGGTCCCGCCTTCCTAGTTGTCTTTCATTGTTTCCCAATTCTATCTTCTAGCTCGAGGTCAGTGAATCTGCCTACCCTTTTTCTACTGGACTTTTTACATGCCATCTTCCCCCCCATAATGGCCTCCTTTTTCTGCCCAGCATGTACTTGAGAGCTTGCAACATTCACTTCTGCACCTGCTCTTCCAGGCCGAGCCTTTCTTGACTGGTCCCACTTGACTGGTCTGTGCTTTCAGTTTGCAACCAGACATCTCGCTGCTTTGTATTCTTTTGAATTATGTTTTTTGCTGTCCCTCTACCTAAATAAATTCTCTAGGGGTGGGGTCTGCTAAATTTGAAGCTTTGTGAGGGTAGGGATTGTATTTATTTTTTCTTCATTACTGTATTGTCATTGCCTCATACATTGTCCAACAGTACTGTTAATTATTAATTGTATAAGCAAAGTTTTTTCATTAAAAAGGTGTTTAAAAGATCTAGTTCAGTCTTTGCACACAGAATCTTGGCAAGTACCCTTGAGTGAGTCACTAAATCACCCATCCCACTTCGTAGGGGAAATGCTAGCATCCATTGTGGAAAGATCTGTAGTGTCTTCCAAGCAGCTTGATGAGAGCCTTCGTTTAAGAATAAGAGTGGTATTTTTAAATTTCTGTCATACTTCACATTTGGGAGAAAGCAAATTTTTTTATTTATTTTGTATGTAGCTCTAATTTTCTTGGCACTTAACTATTTAATATCATGTAGTTAAGTCTTTAAAGCTGTTTACACCCTGTTATTTAAGAGGTGTTCTGTAAATTTATGTTTCCTCCATTTTAATTGGATACCCACAGGGTTTATGGAGATGATATGTTATATGGCCGGTTGTATATATAGGTAACTTGGAAGAAAACTATTCCTAGCATTTATAGTTTTCCACATCATCTTTTCTCAAAGGGTAAAGAATTTTGCTGTTATTGTAAGCTAGGATTCCTTTGCATTTGTACCTTTTCTTTCTTTTTCTTTACTCAATAGCCAAACCAGATTTCCCTGGAAGAGAACATCCTGGTCTCCCGTTACATTAGCAACCCCCTGCTCATAGATGGTGAGTTGTGATTAGGCCCTTGATTAGTCTGGCCTAAATCTTGCTACATTTTTTAACATTTTCTTAGTCTTCTCTGGTAAGTCTTTTATTAAGCTAATGTGAAATTCTTGGCAACTATGGCTCCAAAGATAGGCTGGTTCCTTACTTGCCTCATAGGATTATTTCAAAGATTAAATGAGATAATATAAGAGAAAGTGCTTTATAGTTAAATAGTAATATATATATATATATATAAACACTGCAGTATTTCTGTATTATATATGTGTATAAGATGTAATATACCACTGGTGGCACAGTGGTTAAAGCGATTGACTGCTGACTGAAAGGTTGGCGGTTCAAAACCACCAGCGGCTCCGCGGGAGAAAGATGTGGCATTCTGCTTCCGTAGAGATTTACAGCCTTGGAAACCCTAGGAGGTCACTATGAATCGGAATTGACTTGATGGCGGTGGGTTTTATATATTTATATATAATGTAGAATTATTCTCTCTCTCTCTCTCTCTAAAATGTACAATTATTATTCTCAGAAGGCAAGGTGTATGGGCAGTGTGTGTTTCATGGGAAGAGGAGGGCTGTTCTTTCTCTCATAATTCTTTGTTATATTGTCCTGTTTGGTCTGTAACAGGAAAAAAATGCGCTTAATTTTCTCTGTAAATCAATTTTTTTTTCTAGATTTCAAGTTTGACGTGCGCCTCTATGTGCTTGTGACTTCCTACGATCCTCTCGTCATCTATCTCTACGAAGAAGGACTGGCCAGGTAAGAGGCTTTTTGCAAGTGGGGGGGGGTATATTACAGTGAAATCCATTTAAGAGTTTTTTAAGATTAGGTCATCTCTTTCTGTTATGTTCAATTCGAGAAAATCAGATGTACCCAGATGGGCTTCAGATTACAGAAATCAGTCTTATTACTTCACAGTCTTGCTTGCATATCCACAATGAAAAAGCATGTTCAGACGCACATGTTTCCCAGCAGGGATCCAGGCTCACGTGGTGTTTCCATACAATGACTGCAGACCTAGAATAGTAGGAGTAGTAGGATAATTCACCATTGTTCTTCACCATGGAGCTGGAGAGAAAAATAAAATTTCATGTTTATTTATCTATTATGAACCAGACTCCTATCTTAATGCTCAAAACATCCTTATAGCTGATGCATTTTTGCAGTTGAGGGAACTGAGGCTTAGAGAGGTGAAGGAACTTTAAGTCACTTTTCTGAGATCCCTTAGCTAGTCAATGGTGAACCTGAGTTTGAACTCATGGATCTGATTCCAGAGCTCAAGGCCTGAATGGTTTCGTGCCTCCTCCTACTTGGGGGGCTTTAACTGCTTTTTTAAAAAAACCCTGCAAGTAATATACTTTACAGTGGTTATGTATACATTGTTCTGTTTTTCTTGAGTTACTTTTTAGGTATTAATGTAAAGTGGCTAACTTACAAAATTAAGTTCAAGTTATAATAACTTAAAGTTTTGTTTCCCATATCCACAGAATTTTATGGGTGACAGTATTTTCATAAAGCCGTTAAGTTGTCTGAAATAACCATGCTATGCTTGTGTTGATTTCCCCACAAGCAAATATATATTTTACCAGTCCTTTTGCACTGAGGTTTCTTTCATGCACAGTGACCTTGATGTTTTAGAGCGTAGCAGTTTTGGGGGTGGTTTGCATCTATGAGTGTTCATGACAAGCTAAATCATGATCTGTAAATGTTTCTGTGTTTAGAAAAAGCACTTTGAAGATGTGAAAGTCCGTGGATAAAAGAAGGCTACCTATTTAAGTATAGGTGCTTTTTACACATATTATTGTACTCCAACAACTGTTATTGTTATTTTGGAATCATCTTTCAGTACTTCATATACTCAAGTTTTTTGACATGTCCTGTGACATGAAATGAAAAGAGCAAGAGAACTCACTGAGATTCTAGTTGGTTGAGCCATGTCCTCCCTTTACCTCTAGGTGGCAGTGACAACATTTGTAAACCTGTCATGTTCTTAACTGAGATTGATGAGATTGAGCCTTGGGAACACTGGAGGGTACTGAAGCTCCCTAGTTCTGGGCTCTTGTTCCTTGAAAGTTAGGAAGGGAGAGAACCAAAACAGTTCTCAATTGTCGCAGAAAGGACTGGACTAGACATCTTAGCACAAACTCACTACTAGATTCAGTCAGGGTTTCATAGGAAAGAAGTTTTCTATAGTGTTTGTAGAAGCATCTGCTCTCATGCTTTGAAAGGACTGGGTATAAAAGCCTAGTCCCCATATTACCTAAAACAAAAAGAAGGTAAAAATATACCCCTTTGTTTCTGCTCAGGTGTGTAAGGTCCTGGGCTTTTTCAGTTTTGTAGTTTGAGACTTCTACCTACTCAAAAAGTATGAGCTTTCCCTCTAGTGTATTATAACCTTTCCCATCCTCCTCCTTCCACTCATCTTCACCCCATATTTTTTCCTGCACACTGCTTGGAAGTGGATTACATCCTGCCACAAATTGTATTTCTTGAATAGGGGAAAGATAGGGAAGTTACGCTCAGTGCTCCTCAAGGATATCATATAGTATGTCTTGCGTATAGTTCTGAAGATGTTTCACCCACAATATTAATAGCTCTCTCTACTGGCAAAATTTGGCATGGTTTTAAGACCTCAATGGTTCAGAGCATGGAATGAGGACAATGCCAATGTTTATTATAGAATTTACTACAGATAAGCAAGTGCTTTGGCTAATGGGTGTGTGTTGGACGTCAGAATCCATTGAACTGAGTAACTCCTGTCTCCAGCAGGAACTGAGTATTAAAAAAAAATAATAATGGATGCTTTTTGTCAGAATAATTAGGAAAACAGACTTTTAAGAAAAACTCAGACTGAATTGAACCAAAAAACATGCATTTTCAGGGCTTTGGAGCCCTGGTGGTGCAGCAGTTAAGCACGTGGCTACTAACTGAAAGGTCAGTGGTTTGAACCCACCAGCCGCTCCTCTGGAGAAAGATGTGGCAGTCTGCTTCCGTAAAGATTTACAGCCTTGTAAACCCTATGGGGAAGTTCTACCCTTCCTTATAGGGTTGCTGTGAGTCAGAATTGACTCGATGGTAATGGGTTTGGTTTGGTTTTGGTTAGGCTTACCTGAAAGCATAGGTGAATATACATGCCTTACCAAAATGTGGTACATGGAAATATGACGAGCTATTTGCCAGAAGGTGCACTCCCTACAATGACTTCAGTTTGCCTAAGGCCCTGTGTCTTAACTTGCTGTGTTTCTTGGCATTCACTTGCTTCTTTTTAATCCTCAGAATCCACTCGCCTGTGTCATTACATTCAACAGTAGTCTATAGCATCCCCAGATCTGCAGCTTCCAGTAATCTTGGGTCACGTGTGTTTTGTGTGGACCCAACTGAAGATAATCAGTTTGGGATGCGATCACTAGGTCATTTTACTTTGAGGCTTAAATAGAAAAACCATAATCTTTCCTAAAGAGATACATCTGGGAGCAAATATAACTGGTTTCCTTCTTTAGAAAGGGAGGGTCTTCTTACACCATATCGCTTCTGCTTGGGGCCTCAGATTAATGCTAGGTGACAGAAAGATTAAGTTCATTTCACAAGTCAGTGTTGTGAAATAAATATTTTATGTAAATTCTCTACCTTCTCATTTTACTTCTCTTTTTACTAAAGAAAAAAGACCCTGAGTAGTTGCTTTATAGATTGGTATTTTCAGTTGTCCTTGCTTTATTAACATAGGAAGTATGAAAACTCTATTGTCCTTTTTCTTATATGTGGGTAAAATATTGAGATGTTTAAATAAAATTGCCTTTCTGGTGTTTGGGCCAGCATTTTGTGACTGTCATAGTAGCACCCCAGAGGTGCTCCCTGCTTTTGAGATTCACAGGTGTGTTGCTGTTTTGCACCAGCAGGGGACACTCAGTTTCCAGAACGGGGTGCTGCTCTCTACCAAAATGGGGTAGATTCTTTTTCCTGTGAGAGGTGGAATCCAAAAAGACTTTGTCCTGGATTTTACAGTTAGGTGGATCCAATATTTGGTCTAAACGATTTGACAAGGCCCTTTTTGAGACAAGCTAATAGCCAAATTTTCACTGAAACAGGAAAAATAAAAAGTTAAAAAAATCAAAGCAAAATTGAATTGAAAACCAAATGTGTTGTCAGAGACCCAAAGAAATGTAGCACTAGCAACTTGGGGGAAAAGAAAGTGCCCATCCAGAGAACTGGGAGAATTCCGCCCCCGCTCTGGAGGTGGGAGGGGAGGACATTGAGAAGGCCCAAATCGGGGACTGCCTTTTCTCTGCGTCAGCCATATCCTTCAGTGGAAACTCAGAAAAGACCCCAAAGCATTTGTAATGCCTTTCCCTTCCTCCCCACCCCCAGTTCCTTCTTCAGTAGCCTTCCTTACTAATTAACACTGGCTCCGCAGGGATATTTACCTTTTCTCTGCTGGATTCCTGTGGTTTTGAAAGAATTCAGGTACTTGCTGGTTGCCAAGGAATTCAGATTACCTCACAGGCTGCACACTGTCCAGAATCCGCCACAGCAGCAATAAGGGGGGAAGAGACACCAACAAGGGGGAGAAAACCCTCTCCAGGCTTATTGTCACCCTCTCTGGCAGGCCCTTGCTGTTTGTGAAGTTTGAGTCATTTCTGGCTCTAAAGTCAGAGGATCAGGCTGGTAATCCCCTCCCAGACGGCTCCGTAGGGCGCTGCCTAGTCACTGCAGCACTTTGGCAGTCTCCAGGCTGCAGCTGGTTGACAGCAGATCAGAGAGCTCTTGGGCCTCTTGTTCTCTTCCATAAGATTTTTCTGGGTCAGGCCGAGATGAAACCCAGTGGCTCCTGGCACGGCTGCCTGAGGTGCTGTCTCTTCATCTTCCAGGCTTCTCTGGCTCAGAATGGCTGCACCTGCTGAAAGATAACCCATGTGCCACAGCTGAGGTCTCCTCAGAGCCGCTGGCCTTCCCTTTTCTTTGTACATTTGTAGCAAATGTTTATTAGAAGATATTACTACCAAAGAGGGGGCATAACTGTCCTGCATCTAGATGGTCTATGACTGTAACTACAGTATCCTATTCTTAGAAGAAAACAATAGTGGCTGAATTGGGAGTAAGAGAGTTGTAGAAGGTCAACTTCCTCTCTGTGCTTTCCTTCCCATTTTGACTCCATATTGGTAAAGTTCTTCAAACAAGCAACTCATTTCCAGTTTCAGTTAACATTCATTAAGTAGCTTCTGTATGCCTAAGGGTTAGGCATTTTTTGGTGTCTGTTGGAGTTATAGGAGCCCTGGTGGCACAGTGGTTAAGAGCTATGGTGAGGTTAAGAGCTATGGTGAGCTATAGCTGCTAACCAAAACATCGGCAGTTTGAATCCACCAGCTGCTCCTTGGAAAGCCTATGGGGCAGTTCTGCTCTGTCCTGTAGGGTCACTATGAGTTGGAATTGGCTTGATGGAAATGAGTTTGGTTTTTGGTATATGCCTAAGGAGCCTTGGTGGCTCAGTGGTTAAGTGCTCAGCTGCTAACCAAAAGGTCAGCAGTTTGAACCCACCAGCTACTCTCTGGGAAAAAGATGTGTCAGTCTGCTTCCCTAAAGATTTACAGCCTTGGAAACCCTATGGGGCAGTTCTACTCTGTCCTATAGGGTCACTATGAGTTGGAATCGACTCAGTGGCAATGGGTTTGTATATGCCTAACAGGGAGCTCTGGTGGTGCAGTTGGTTAAGTGCTCAGCTGCTAACCAACAGGTTGTCGGTTCAAACCCACCTGCTGCTCCAT